AACTGCAAACAACAGAAAACAAACATATATTTGTCTTCTGAGACAAACAGCTTAAACTTTAACCTCTCATATTCAGATCAACTTTGTCTATATATAACAAAAATCAGAGTTTGGCCAACAACAGAGCCTAGAATAACGCCTTACTAGATAATCTAAAAAATTAGTTGTTATTCAAAAAAATGCTTGTTAATCAAGTGCCAGTGGTGATGGCCTATTGAGATAATTTAATATGGGGCTAGTTCTACCAAAGAAAATATAGCTTTAAAGGCTATTTTAGTGATGAACAAGCTCAGATATTTTGGCTTGCTTAATGTCTTATTTGATATAAAGCCACTTTCTAGAGTGTTCTGCTGTGGGCCCTTAAGCTGTCGGCAGTCACAAACATCAGGCAACCTTGGGGGATTCTACAACTGAAATCAACAATCCTCTTCAAGTCTACACACAGTAAGCATTTAAAATTTTAAATTTCATCTTGTGAATAAGCCTCTGAAACTTCATCAGTTATCACAATGATTTGAGTCTCTCTCATTTGACAGTATTCCAGTGATGGATCGCTGAAAAGCAATAAATATAATAGTAATTCCAAAATAAGGGCAATTTTTAATTCTAGGTAACATTTGCACATACAAAACATCTGGTTTCTTTGATGCCATAGCCTTTCATGTCCACTGTATCAATTTAATGGTAGCTATGCAATTTTAATTTATTTATTCTTTTAACTCATTTATAATAGTAGAAAAGAATGCTAACTTCTTTGATCAGCCTATAAGTAAATATCAAAGAAGAAATTATCCAAGAGGGTTGGGGACACAAACCATAACACACACACACACACACACACACACACACACACACACACACACTTACCTATTTCTAAGTCTCTATGTATCATATATATATTTATGCATTATAGATAGACAAAGATAGTCAACCAGATAGAGTGAGAAAGTGACATGGGAAAGTGTGCAGTTGTGGGTAATCATTTGTTGTGATGAGGTAGGTCAGAACCTGAGGCTTTGAGTCTTCTACCCATGACTCCTATGGGCTATTCTATTGAAGAACACCAATGAAAAGAAAGAGTATTCTGCTGAAATACAGCAGCATCGCTGATGAATTATAATGGTTGTCTACTAGAGTGATAATGCTTGAGAGAACATACTAATAGTATTTAGTAATTTTCAAGGTTGTTTATAAACCATTGATACTTTGAATCAATACAGTAACTGAATGCCTTAAGCCAGGTTCATTGTCCTGATTTTATAGACAAGAAAATGTAAGCTCAGAGGTATGTGACTTCTCCAAGAGCATAGGCAAGTTATATAGTGGGGACATCAGGATTGGAATCTATAAGTTGTAACTTGGTCAAGTCTTTTTCAATTATACTATCCTGCACGTATTCGTATTTTTTTCACTTATGAAGATAGGAAACTATGAAAACTCCTTGATAATATTTGATACACATTATCTGATTTTAAGACCTCAGCAGCCCCTGAATACATTCTATAGTTCCTGTAGTTCCCTGCAAGAGATGGGTAAGCAAGTCACCTAGAGCAATTATGACTTCAGAGAATGGGCTTCATCAGAAAATATCGAACAGATTTCTGTACGTATTGTGCCTCAGAGAATAGCATGAAATGAGCATGCTTTTCTTATAGTACAACAATGACTCCCAAACACCAGATACTTAACACAAATGGACTCAGAAACTATTCAGAAAGATTCTGGCCAACTCAAGAGGCATGAATTTAATGTGCCAGTTTAGCACTTGCTGCTCATGTAGATGACTGGGGTTCAATTCCCAGCACCTGCTTGTCATCTATTAACCATCTGTAAGTTTCATGTGACCTCACACCACTTCTGGTCTCCATAGGCACTGCACACATGGTGTACAGACAGACATATATGCAGGAAAAGCATCTACACAATTGCCAAATTTAAAACAAAAATAAATTCATTTTAAGAGTTGTTGTAACATTACAAGATTTATAATGGAGAGAAAATAACCTTGTGTTTGTGACTACTATTTATGACTCAATGCCTTCACTTACAGAGTACTCAGAATTTAGAAACAGATGTATCTAAACATTTTTAAATTGTAGGTTAGAAATATTTGATACATCATGGAGATAGCTATCTTTTTTTAAAGAAAAAATTAACATTTACTATGTATGTGTGTGTGCCTGAGTGTAATGCAGCACAGTGCATGCATGGAATTATTCTCAGAGATCAGAAGAGTGTGTCAGATCACCTGAAATAGAAGTTGCATGTGGTTGTGAGCTGCCCAGTGTGGAAACTGAACCACCTAGGTCATCTTTAGGATCAGCAAATGCTCTTAACTGCTGAGCCAGTTCTCCAGCCCCAACATTTACTCTCTCTCTCTCTCTCTCTCTCTCTCTCTCTCTCTCTCTCTCTCTCTCTCTCTCTCTCTCTTTCTGTGTGTGTGTGTGTGTAAAACCATGAACCTGCTAAGATTCAAGTGATGGTCAGAGAACACCTTGCAGGATTGGGTTCTTTCCTTCTGCCATGTGTTCCTAGGGGTTGAGCTCAGATTGTCAGGATTGCAGTGAGCACCTTTAGCTGTGGGGCCATCTTGCCGCCCTTACTCCTTCTTTTGATATTTGACAAATGATTTTTTTTCTGAAACATTTTCTTAAATGTTTAAGGCAAATCACTTTTTCTTTGATACTTGTGAGGGAAACTTGAAATGTATAATCTAAATTTGTATTGTAACATAATGAACAACTATGGATTTAAAATTAACTACTGATACATGTACTTATTTGCTGGAAAGTTCTATGTTTGTTTAAAACAGGTCTGGCTCATTATCTTGATATGGCGATATTGTACTATATCTGTTTGGTTGTATCTCAAATTTAGCAGGCCTAACTAAATTCTTTTATGTTTTGGCCTTTTTAATTAAAAATACTAATATATATATTCAGTATGCATAGTGATTAGTTTTAGAAAGACAATTTCTTTAAGTATGTTCTTTGAGTATATTCATCACTCATACTCTCCATCTTCTACCCATGCCCTCCTTCTCCCATTAGTCATTTAGTTCTTTATATCCCAAACTCTCAAGGTCATTGTCAGCTCTCCTCTGTCTTTCATATCCTTTAATAAATCACAAAACCCTGTCAGTCATCCCTTCACAATCCTTATAGAATCATACCACTTCTTACCAGCTGTACTGCTTCCACCCTATTCCAAGCCATTATCATCTCTTGCTTGGAAATGGCCCCCTTTGAGCCTCCCTCCTCTTGCTCTTTCTAAATCATTTTCAATAAAGAAGTCAAAAGGATTCTGTTAAAATGTAAGTCAAGTCCTGGCATTCCTCTATTTAGACTCATCCAATAGTCCCCATTCCATGCAGAATAAGAAACCAGGACCTTTACATTGGCTCACAAGGTTGTCAAGTGAGTTCTACTGTCTGCCCTCAGCATGTATTCTCTGTTTCAGAGATTTTCCCCCCACAGTTGCTTTTTTCCCCTCAGCAATCTATTTGGCTCACCTTCATTTCACTCAGGTCTCTTCTCAACTGCTTCCTTATCACAGAGACTGCCTCTGATCACTGTATAATATACTCCATGACCCTATCTCCCTGTTTCATTGCTGTATTTTTCTGCACAGCACTTATCACTACAAACTTAGCTTTGTTTATCGCTGTTATCAAAGTAAAGTCCTCTGGGGAACAAGAAATATTCATTGAGGTCTATCATGTACCAAGTCCTTTTGTAGGCAGTAAGAATATAAATATTAAACAAACAAACACAGATATTCTTATAGCGCTTCTATCCTAGTGTGATATAAATTGACTGTATTTACTCAGTAAATATTTGAAGGATGTGTTGGATAAACACAGTACACACTTGGCAGAATAACAAGAATGGCTTTCAAAAAGGAGATTTGGATTGGCTTGTCACCTTTTAACTCATTGAAACACTCATCACATCTAAAGAAACGGTTCCATAGCCTCTTAGGTGAAAGGGTAAATATCTTAGACAACTCCACGATCCCCAGGTACTCTTTATCCTTAACTCTAAGGCAGTACTAGCCTCATCTCTTCAATTGCTTCCACTTTCTGCAACTGCTTCAATCATTGGCCCCTACTCACATTGATAAATGTCAGCTTAAAAATCTCATTTTCATCTTTATAAAATCATGTTGCTTTGTAACCCCCTACAGACACATATCATCAGCAGATGTAGCCAGACACATTGTCTTTGAATCCAGATGGCTTTTCAACAGCCTAGAGCTATGTTTCCTATAAACCTCTGTGCCAAAGGGGCAGTGTTCTGTTAGTTGACAGAATAACATTGAAATACAGTGATTCAAAGACTCTACCCAGGAGCTACTTCAACATTTTGTCATCCCACTGATGGTACTACTAGTTAACTCAAAGCTGTTACACCAATAATGGCAATGGTTTTTTTTGGGGGGGGAATCACTGCCTAACTGAAGGGACAGTAAACACTATCAAGTTACATTACAAAACCAACAGTGAGATAAATATTAGACTAGATTCTAGAGTTATATAAAGGGAAGTGGATCCTTGTCCTCAAGGAACTTACAGAGTAATGCTACATGCTTTGGTTTAGTTTGGACATAGTAACAGATACCAAAATTGTTATAATTATCATTGTAAATAATATATCATATAAATGCTAGATTGGAAAACACTATCAGTTCCAAAAATAGAATCAAATTATCTTGGTGGACATGTCAGATATGGTATGTCTTCAGGAGAGAGGAAGTCCTTAAGGAGAGTGACCTTGAGGGATATAAATGCTATCACGGCCTCCAAACCTACTGAAAAGGGACTGAAGGTATCTGGAGTTAGAGGATGAAGGACCGTTCTATTGTTAGTTCTATGTCAAAGGACTGAATATCAGGTTAGGCTGGAGAAATCAGTGCTGTTTGGACAATGCATGAGCTATAAAGAGAATTTCTATTAGCGTTTCGTAAGTCAGAGTGATAAAGGATCACTTGAGTAGACTTACCATCTGCTCCTTCTCCACTTTTGCTTCTTTTATTGCGGCGAACACGCCTACTTTCCTCTTCAGAATATGCCTTTTCATCAGGAAAGAAGAAATTCAGGAGGGCCATCTGTAAAATTAACAAGTAGATATGTCAAAGGTTGATGCCAGCTAGCTGTATCCAACATAAGAAACCAACCAGCTGGCTTTCAATAGATAGTCCATCTTTACCTTAAATTCAATATATCTAAAGTCTGAGTCCATCTTTCCTTCTAGTTTTCAATGACTTTAATCATAGACTCATTACTATTCTAAACATGTAGGCATGAAATTTTGGTTAATCTCTGAAGTCTCTCTATTCTGCTCTGAATAGCTCTGAAAAATCCCTTAGGTTACATTTGTCCACAAACTTCTGGGGTTTGTCACAAATTTCTAATTTTCCTCCTGCATTACTGATGGATATACAGAACTAGCCTTGGATTTTCTATTACCCCTTGGAATTTATTATCATATATATATATCTGTTTTTTTCATTTTCATACTAATGCTTGGCTTTTAATTTGTTTCTAGAGTGGGGAGCATCCAATCCTGAGGTGCCAACTTTCTTTTGGGAGTTAAGTCATGATAAAGTAAACACTAATTCTCTGCCTTTCCCAAACTCAATCAGAGCATGTCAGTGAAATAGAACAGTTGATTATTTTTCTTATTCTGTTTGTTACTTTTTAAGGAAAACCTAAATGTGTTATCACTCTATTACTAAGTTTTTATATAATTATGTATCTGAAAAATAAGCCTTGTATTAAAAGGTACTCAATCTAATATTTGGTCCTCTGATGTCCAATAATCACCACTTACAGTGACATAATATGTTTTGTATGTGTATGGGTCTGGTTTCACTAATGATAATAATAACTTAAGTGTATACTTGAAGTAAAAAGAAGTGCATAAGGTAAATATTGGACAGAGTTTTAGACTCGAGTGATTCTAAGACCAACTCTATACTTTGCTGGCTGTGTAACCTTAGATGATAATATCACTTTACTCATAACAATAAACGTAAGGTATTGCTATTTTAAAAACTTTAATTATTTGAAACTTAAAATGTATACATTTTCACTCTATTGTCTGCTGGAAAAAATAGTAATCCAAGAGTCTTCATGTCTGGTGCATTTATCAGTTAAAATGTGCTGGACCCAAGAAAGACCTAACAGTCTATACAAAATTTCTTCAAATACCTATGATTTATTGTTTATATTAAACAATTATATCCAGTAGCCTTAAGGCACATCTGTCTAGAATGATATAGTCATTGATTAAATATCAAAAAATATGAATATATCTAATCTTTAGATTATTAATCACAGCACATTAAAAAATATTTAGGTTGATTCACTTGATATGGCCATTTTTTAAGAGTGCCCCAGACTCTCCTAAAACAATACAGGCTATTGCCATTGCTCTTAGGTTACCTATCAGAAATAGATGGTTAAGATCCTATCACTGAACACAGTACACATTTAATTTAGATAACACAGAGAAATCAAGCTGGAAATGAGTTAGAAGCATCCGCCCGGATGGCTAGCATTCATAGTACTGGAAAGTGCTATGCAAGCTGTTTAGGGAGAAAAGACAACATCAATGGTCTTTGCCAGCTGTGGACCCTGCATGCAGCAAAACTGATCATTCAGATAAGATGCACCCACTGGTGTAATAGTTGAGGGCAACCAATTGCTTTTTGATTGGATTTGAGGCTGACCCCACAGGAAGAAATACATGCCTAGTAGTGGAAACCTAGTCAAAAACCATGGTTGGGGAAGTCACAGGCCCTAAGGGGGAGCTCAGTATTTTGATGTTTTGCTAAATGAATATGCAGTCAAATTGCCTTCTAACTAGCTATTTTTTATATCTATAGACGAGTGCTCTCAGTCTTCAGAGAAGTTTTGTTTCAGTAGGCAGCAGTTAGTGCAGAGACTCATAACTGGTTAAAGTGCAGAAAAAAGCGACAATTAGTGCATACTGCTAAATGAGACTATATCACTCCTTCCAAGGCCCAGGCAACATCTTGGAAGAGGGGTAAGAATGAGTGTAAGAGCTAGAAGATGGGGAAGAGTGTTGTGAAGTACCGTCTTCTGTATATGACATGGCCATTGTATGTAAGAACATATTGCTGTGATAATTTACACAAGATTGGGTCCTTCAATATTTCATTATGTATGGGGGAGGGGTTTATGAAGGTTCAACCCCCTGCTGAGGAAGTAATGGCTGTTGGGAGAGGGAGAGTCTTTTTCTTCAGTAGTGTAGCCACTGTTAAGTTGCCATGGTCCACTAAATCAACTCCAATTAAACTCAGTGTATCTTTTTTTTTTTTTGGACACGAAACAGGAGTTGGCTGCACGTGCTGTGGTGGCACAGACGAAAAGACAGGAAAGGGCAGGCCTGATGAGCGAGCAGGAGGATCGACCTGCTAGATACCCAACCCACGAGTGAGCTTCGCATCATACCATTTAAGCATGTAACCCAATGGCCCAGCAAGTTAACGCAAGGGGTCCCCTGTCAGCTCAGGTTCGGCCAGTCCCTGGCCTGCCTGCCGCAGCCGTAGTGGAGGTTCAGCTCCGGGAGGAGCTCTGGAGTCTGTCTCCTTCAATTTTCGAGATTTTAAGATGGCTGCACAGGCAGCGCCGAAAGTTGTGCTAAAAAGCACCACCAAGATGTCTCTGAGTGCTTTACTAATAAGCTGAAGAACAAACAGCCGATGCCAGTGAATATTAAGGCTTCGATGTAGTAGCAGCAGCAGCAGCTAGCCAGTGCCAGAAACAGAAGACTGGCCCTGCAGATGGAGAATAGACCCTCTGTCCAGGCAGCATTAAAACTTAAGCAGACTTTATATGCAAGTCCAGACAGTGGTTGCGGAAGGATATGTCTAAGCTGTAGTGGTGCCATGTACCTAAGAGCTTAAAGCAGCGCTTGGGTAAGAGTAACATCCAGGCATGTTTAGGCCGACCCATAGGTACCCTGGCCATGGGAGCGACTGGAGGAAGAGGCCTACCCATAACCAAAGAGTCTTGCCCCGAGGAGGACAATGTGGGGGACATGCCACCAGGATCCTGCTTGGGGCAGGATGTCGCTCCGAGGTCAGAGTATGATAGGTCGGGGAAGAGGGGGTTTTGGAGGCAGAGGCTGAGGTCGTGGTCAAGGGAGAGGTGCTCTCCCTCGCCTTGTATTGACCAAGGAGCAGATGGACAACCAACTGGATGCATACATGTTGAAAAGTAAAGAACAATTGGATATTGAGTTGGATGCCTTCATGACACAGATAGATCCTGAAACCAATGATTGAAGACGCCTGCCTGCCTGTTAGAATCTTGTTAAAGTCACCACATCTATAAAAAGAAAAAATAACCTTGAGAAAATATGAGAAGAAACCTTATTGATGCTGGAAGGACCTATCTCAATAGGTTGTGGACTTACATGTCACCAGTTGGCACATTTAGTCTGTTCCCTCTACTTTTTGATACTGTGTTATATGAAACCCTATTTTCCTTTGATTTGGTTGAATTTGTTTTGTTGTTTATCCAGTCACCCAGACTTCTGTTTGAACAGGAGTGCATTGGACTTGTGAGCAAACATTTTTTCAGCCTGTCTCACCTGTCATATACTCTGACATTTTAATATTTCCTCTATTCATTTTTATGATCCCCAAAAAAGGTTCTCAGAAGGAGCCCGTGTTGTCAATAGCATGTGGTCACTGGGATAGAGTTCTACATTTTCTTTAAAGACTTCCTGTAAATAACTAAAACTATAGGTGTGTCTGCTCTGTTGATGGTGAAGGTAGTAAATTGGAAATGCTGGTATTGGTACTGGACCAGGAATGGCTTATATATGGTAGCAACTTTGATTTGGTCAAAGTTGGTGCTGCCTATGTAGATATTACATAAATGGTAGCTGACATGCTGAGTTAGATATGTACAACACCCACCATAAAGTAAGATTTTTAAAAAACTTTTCTATTGGCTTTGTGTCATGTCCAAGAGGCTTGCACACATCCGGTATAGAAGAAGTCATTTGGTGTGGCACATGTGTCAGAAGAAACAAAGGTGGGAGACTGTTTACAAACTCGCCACTGGGAAGGTTCGTGTGCTGCTCATGCTGAAATGCAGTTACCTATGTTTGTTTAAACCAATCTTGGTCTGATCCACATAACTGGCTTTATTTGACCCTCTTGAAGGTTTAAGTTCAACCATATTTTGTCAGCTGTTCAGTTTCAGTGTGTTTCCGGTTCATTATAACAAATTGTTCTCTCAAGATTAAAAAAAAACCCCTCAGTGTATCATATAATAGACATGAACGTAGGAGGGGGACTAGTTTGGAGGAAGAATGGGGTCATCAGGAGTGGGTTTAAGAGAGGATAAAAGGAAAGCAAATATGATTACAGTGCATTGTACACATGCAAGAAATTCAAAGAGAAAACACATGTGTACACACACATGTATTTTTATGCAAAAAGTTGGGACTTGGGAAATGGCTTAGTTGGCTAAGTGTTTGTCATGAAAACATGAGGACCTAAATTCAATTCCTAGATCTCACATAAAATAGCCAAGTGTGGTGATACACACTTGTGATCCCAGTACTGGGGAGCTTCCACATGCACACATGCACCCATAAAAACACATATAGACACACACACACACACACACACACACACACACAGAGGGGGGAGAGGGGAGAGAAAGGGTTGAAACATCAGCAATTTCACATGGTTCAATTGATTAGTATTTTGGAGTCACATGATTGGGACATAAAATGTAGTTTCCTGTAGAATCAAAATAAATCTAGTTAGGCTCACAGAAATGTCACTTAAACCACCATATAAATAAGCTAATTCAGCATTAATAATATGAAATCAAGCTGGCATTTAAAATAAAATGTCAATCATGCTTGGTGTGATGGTCAGTATTTGTAATCCCAGCACTTTGGAGGCTGAGGCAGATGATATAAACTCAAAGTTAGACTATGCTACTTAATAAAACTTGGTCTAGAAAACAAAGAAACAAACAAACAAACAAAACACTCAAACCAAACCACCAAACCAGAAAGAGTGCCAGTAATCTTGGGATAGAACAAGTTTTTTTT